GCAGGGTGGCAAAAATAAAACAAATACAACAAAGACTGCTTCTCCACACAACTCCCCTTTCTTGTCCAGGGGGAGAGAGTTAAATATTCAAGTTCAATAAAGTTGAAACCACTTCTTTATTACACTTAGGATACTAGTAAAGGCAGTTTGTATGATTTCAAGTGGTCTGCCTAAATGGAATATTTCAAAGACATACTCACATCTTGAATAGTCTGAGTCTAAAAATGCAAGGAAAAATAGAATTAATTTCCAAATTGAGAACAAAGTACCAGAATTTCTTTGGAAAAACAAACAGTGGTATAAATGGCTTCCTTAGGAAAGGTTAAACTTTGTTCTTAATATTTATTTTCATTTATAGGAGATATAAATTGATAACATTACTGAATTTATTATTTCACATCTACAAGAAGAAATAGTTTCTAGCACAAAAGAAACTAGGATAGATTAGAAACCTAATTACTCTTCTCCACATTGAAATATTTGAAGTTGTACCTCACAATGTAATCTACTCATTAGTTTTATCTCTAATGTAGCGCTGAAAACAACTTCTAGTGAAATATGTTGCCTAAGATTTCTGGGTGCAAGTTTAAGATGAATATCCATAGAAGACAAAGTTGTAAACAGTGGTTCCTACTTCTTCAAAATCTGTAATTGAAAATCAGAATTCTTTTTACTTAAGAGAAACTTGCTACATGTAGAACTTGAACCTTAGCCACAATGCCCATCATTGAACCACACATACTTTGTGTTAAAGCTTTTAAAATAATAGCATACATATGAAATAACTATATTTAATACCATGTTTTGCCATAATTATTGTAAGTTATTTTATTTATTTTTAATTGTCAGAATTAAAGTGTGTAGCCTATAATTAAATTGTACTAGTCAGCCAATAAGTGGTTATAAGATTGCCATAACCTCAAGCACTGCTGTGTAATGTACATCATGACTTAAGCAAGGAATAAAGTTTATGTTTTTAACTTGTTTATTGTCCTGTATTTGCTATTTCAGGAGATAGCCAAAAATCTGAGAGTTTGTTCACCCTGGCCCATATGCTTAATAGTAAGACCACACCTAAGTTCTACCAATTTTATCTCTAAGTTTCCATTCTTCATGTTCACCAGGTTGACAACAATACCTTAATTCAAGCACTTATTTCCTTCTCCCTGAATTCCAGCAGTGCCTTTCTAACTGGTCTGTCTGTTCCTATTCTTGGTCCCCTAAAGTTCTTTTTCCATATTGTAACCAGGTTTCTACTTAAAACTCATTTTTAGTGTTTCTCAGAGGTAGCAAATATACTACTGTGATTTTCTCTGCATTAGCAATACACAGTGAAAAATGAAAATGGTGAAAACATTCCCTTAACAATCATAATAAACAGCATATACTATTTAGGAATAAGTTGAACAGAAATGGTACAGAAAATAGGGTAATCTACTTGAGGAACTTGACAAATATTAGAAAAATTGAAATGACAAGCCATATTCTCAGATGGAAAGAATTAATAAAATTAAAATGTTAATTTCCTCCAAATTAATAAATAAATGTACTTCAAATCCAGTTACAGTAATTATTGTTGTTAGAGTTTAAAGTTATTTTTGAAACTTCACTTAGTGCCTTAAGTCAGTAAAAAAGAATAAGGCCTGAAAATAGCCAACAACAACACAAGCGATAATAGTGAAGAGAATGTTAACTTAACAAATATCAAAACACATTATAAATGTTCTGTAATATAAAAATTAGAAAATGATATATAAATAGAAAGTAATGGAGCCCACTAGAATACCCAAACACAAATGACAGTTCATATGGAAATTCAATCTCTGAGAACAGTAGTATTTTATTTCAGAAATGCTCACACAACTGAATATATATCTGAAAAGAAAGTTGGAATCTATCTTAGATTATAAGTAAAAAAATTGTGATGGACTGGTGCTATAAAGAAAAGGAAAAGATGGGCCATGGATTTAGCTCAGTGGTGCTTCCACTTGCCTTGCAAGTGCAAGGTCCTGAGTTCGATCCCTGGTATCAAAAAAAAAGGAAAGGAAAAGACAACTTATTAAAAAATGAAAGGTAAGAAAATATACAAAAACTAAATGAGCAGGAAGACTTTCATCATGAAGTTAGGAAATAAAATAATATATTTCTATAAAAAGTTATAAAAGCTGCTGTATGAAATTATTGGCTTTATGAAAGCATTAGTAGCATTATATATGCTTGAATTACAAGCAGCAGATGAAATATTAATGTTTAACACCAAGACCCACTTACAAATTCACACGAAAAGGCTAAGAAACTAGACACAAAAAGCCACAGAAAAGCAAAGGCAAATAACCAATAAATATATCCCTCAAACAACCACTTATCAGATAAATGAACAGTATAGTATCAATGGAATCCTTTATGTAGTTTAACTGGCATAAAATAAACAGAGCAATAACACGTATTGCTGGTGGGGATATGGGCACAGCATACCTCTCTTAATTTGTTAGTGAACATATGATAGTCTTTGAAAAGGAAGTTTACCAACAAAATCTATTAAATTTGATCTTTATACCTTTCAGCCCAGCAATTCCGCTTCTGGAACCTAGCTCATAAAATTAAAACAGTGTCCTAATATATATGTATAGGGATGTTTATTTTAGCATTTTTTTGTTGTGACATAAAACTGGACACAAAGATAACAGCCATCAATGGGAGGATGGTTGAATAAACTACAATAGATCCATACTATAGAATATTTCACAGCCATTAAGAAGAATAATTAAAGGTTTACAAATTAACTTGAAAGGATCTTTCTGAAATCTATATGAGAAATACTACAATGAATCCTAATTTTTCTAATGATCAAGTTCAAAACAAATGATGAGTAGATGAGATTGCAAACGCATGTAGAAATAGAAAACATTTATTTCTGTATCGACAAAATTCCAGAATAATTCACACCAGTTGTTCATTTATTTAGTGAGGGGAAAGGTGAAAATTGTTTTCTGATTCCTTGCTCATTGAATAAATTAACAAAGGAGTTAAAAGCGGAAGAAAAGGGTGAAGAGATAGATAAGCATATATAACCATAGACACTGATAATTGTTCTAAAGCAGATAGCATGGTTGATATTGTCTTAGGGACAAAAAAAAAGACACAGAATTAGATCTATAACTTTTGACCTAAAAATGACATCTAGTTGGTAAGTTAAGCAATTGACCGTGAATAATACATATAAAATGTGTCTTAGTCTGGCACGAACTACCTAACACGTGCAATTTAAAGGAGAAGATGGCCAGGGATTTAGCTCAGTGGTGCTGCACCTGCATTGCAACTGCAAGGTCCTGAGTTGATTCCCTGGTACCAGAAAAAAAAATACAAACAAACAAACAAAAAAATAAAGGAGCAGAGGTTTATTTTCACTCATGTTTCAATGCAGGGTCAGCCTGCTCCAAAGAGGAAACAGCGTGGCAAAGGGCATGGTGAAGAAAGCTGCTCATGGCATGGTGGGCAGGATGGAGGGACCCCAAGGAAGAGCTAGGAAGGAAGACAAACCCTTCCAAGCCACAATCATGGTGTTCTGCCTCTTCTGACCAGACATTGCCTCCTAACAGCAAGTCAGCTGCAGCACCATTAATCCAATCACCTTCCAAGAACAAGAAGCTTTGGTGGCTATTTTGAATCTACACCATGACAAAATGATTTTATTATAAAATAAAATAAAGGCAAGGAAAAGCTCTAGTGGTACCCAAACATCTATGAGTGATAGTCCAATTGCTTACAATGCCATACAAAACACTTTGAGTCTTTGCCTGCCTCCTAGAATTCTCTCCTGACACAGCTCCTGTCACCTCCTCTAGTGTAACAACATTCTGCAGTGTTTCTAGTTACACACAAGTACACAGACACGACCCCAGCATGTATGTTATCTGGTGGTGTCACTCAGGGTAGAGCCCAAGAGCATGACGGAGACCCTCGGTTTAGTCCCCATGCTGAAAACTTTGTGATTCTGCACCTTTGACCATGCTAGATCTTATTGATCCCTGTGTCTACATTTGAGTCTGGAATAAGAATAATATTCAATAAATGCTTATTGAATAAGTTAGCATAGGAATGAATGAATAGATGAAAGAGCAAGTGCTTCTCAGTTTGTGTGGAATGTCTTCACCTAGGCCTTCACTGACAAACTCTTGTGCCTTTTTATATCTTAGCTCAGGGGTCAACCCTTCCAGGGAATCTGCTTTGGACTTTCTTGAGGAGTCCTCTGCTGTGCCTAGCATCTTCCTCTTCACACCTCGCCAGCACACAGCACATCAGAGTGCTGTTATCAAGTTCACTGTTTAGCTCTCACCTGGCAAAAAGCAGTTAAAGGCCAGTGAGTGGGTCCCCACATCTTCCAGTTCCTTGTGTTTAACACAATGCCTGGCATGTGATGGATGTTAAGTTATAAACAGGAAATCAATGGAGTTCCAGTTTTAGAATTGCAAATATATTTCCATATCTCCTTGCAAAATAGCCTCCTGAAATATAAATTTCCAATGAAGGATTTGAATATAAAAGATAAATTACAAAAGATAAAATTCCAGACCTTAAGGACAAATCACCAGGGACAACTTCAACATAAAATGCAAACCAATGGAGATATAATTGTCATTTGAAAAGCCAAATAAAGGACATCATCATGAAATTTTAGAATCCCAAGGTTGGAGATAGGATCCTAGAAAGGCCCTGAAAAATGAAATCAAAAGGTCACATATAAAGAGTCATGAATCAAAATTATTTTTGACATTTTCAAAGCAAAATGGAAAACAATATTATAAATAGAAATGATTTGAATACATTAATCTGTTTTATCAAATAAACTCACAATCATGGGTGAAGGTAAAATAAAACTATTTTAAGACATGAAAAGTGTCTCAAAAATTACCTTTTCAAGTACTGCAGGATATTTTATAAATAAACAGATCAATGCCAAGAACTAAGAAAAGGAGAAGATAGCTCAGGGGACTGAGGATCAAATTAGGAAAGAAGAAAAGACATTTGTGGAAGGAAGCCTAGAGAACAGGAAGCCTAGGGTGGACTGGGTTCAAGCAGCAGGGGTGAGGATCCTGGAGGGATTGAACTGGAAGATATTCAGATGCTTCTGATCACAGAGAAAATGGTGCTGACCTGTGAGAAGGAATGGCATGATGCATCAGTAGGATCCAAGAAAACTGGGAAAATGATGTTAGCCCATCAAAACCAGAAAAACCAAGTAGGTTCAGACACTATAATGAAGTGGGCTTTGTCCTGGTAGTGGAAGATGATTTGAACTCTCAAAAATCTATCCATGTTGAATTTAGTGACTTTACTAATTTAATCTCATTTAATACACCAAAGAAAATATGTTAAGACAGAAAATACACAATTATGTACATTTTAGATGCATAAAATTACTGTAGAAAATGGAGCATACACTTATGATAACAAATCTCAACAAAGTAAAGTAAGGATAATTTCTCAACTTTTTACAGGAAGTCTGAGGAAAATCATACAACTAACATTCCCATTAGGACTGGAAAAAGGAGATCAAGGCTACCTGAAGGTAAGACACTGTTGCTTCTCCTCATTAAAAATGGTTAGATTTACTTTATTTTTTAAACTTTATAACACTTTGTATATGCATTAAAAGTATTAATTTAATAAAATGGAAGTTTAATTAAAAGTAGTGCTATGATGGACAAACATAATGAAACACACCAAGAGAAAAGAGTTCTTTTCGTCAACATTTAAAGGTACTTTGGTTTTGTTGTTCCTAGATTATTTTTGATCTGGTATTGCACTTTCACCATTGACTCTTTGGATTTAAACAGTACATATTTATAAAACCTGGTTCCCTCAAAGCTCTCTACTGAATCTAAGAAAAGTAGATGAGCTCCTTGCAAATGGACATGAGTTTGAATAAAACGATCTAATAAGAGTCTAAATCAAGCCCATGCCCAGAAGGTCTAATCTGGTTGGTGGGGGAAAAGATGTGACAAATGACATTGTGAAAATAATTCAGGAAAATAAACCTGCTCTCCCCAAGCTGTCACGTTGGAACAGAGCTGACAAGCTGATTCACACTATGTTGCTTTGATGGATTACCATTCGTGGATTATTTTCCTCTGCGGCATGTGCATTTTAATAAGCAACAAAGCCTGAACCAGTGAAATAGTAATAAAGGTAGGATTTCAGGCACCTACATAAGCTTATGTGAGGAAATTTCAGAAGTTCGGGGCTTACTGGCATCCTCCAAACTAGACAAGCTGGTACGGACCTCCTGGGCCTATGCCTCTGCATTTTGGGGGAAAGTGTCCGAACTAGGAGAGTTATAAACAAAAACAGCCACTTACTACCCTAAGGTCCAGGAACTAAAACTTCACTCCATTCTGAAATCCAGTATAGGCAATACTTCATTTTCAATTTCAACTTGCAGTTACTTCTATAAGGGGAATTTTGTAAGAGGTAGTTGATATATTTTGAGAGCAACTGAAAAATCTCAAGACCTAAAATTTCCAGCATCTGCAATCAAGTTTTGCTTCCCTTAATCCATACAGAGCAAGGTATTTGCAATGTAATGCAGGTAATTTCATTCATAATCATGAACTGTGTATTTAAGTAATCAGTTCTATGCATAATTATTCATTCTGGATGAAAGCTGCACCTAGCTTTTCTGAGGATGTAGGCACGTTTTGTCCAAATTCATTCCAAACTGATGTCAGCCCATCGATGAGACATGCTGGATGTCTACAGAATTGACACCTAGGGTCAAAGGTGGTGGCAAGAGGCAGTGTGGCTGGACATAACCTGTAACTCTTAATATGGCCAAGTGAACCCCCAAGAAAGTCTGGGCAGCTCCAGAGTGTGTCCCGCCTATGTTCAAAAAATGTAATTACAGCTTCTGGGGACTACTGGCCTCCACCAGGCTGCTCCAGGGAGGCTGCTCTGGAGGGTGGGCATTTACCTCCTCCACCCAGAAATATCCTCTGGAGCTTGGACCCAAACTGAGCACTGCAGATCACGGTATCCCCGGGATATCTCAAACAACAGATCGCTACAAGTCAAAATGGTGCTACCTTCCTTTCAGTGTTCTCTCCACTGGAGCCACACCGAGCAGACCAGCCAAGTCCCCACACTGTGAAATCCCTTTTCCTGGGATGTGATCGACAGCAGCGCCCACTCTTGCTCATGGGAGGATGACCTTCATCTTCCACCTGACTCCCCAGAGCATCCCTCAGACCTGCTCTTCCTCTTCAGCTCTAATTCACAGCTGTTTCTATCATTTTATCGCCACTCACCCAACCAGTGAGGGTCAAACTCTCCAGAATCTCTCTGTCTGGCTCCCACAGACATTGATTCAAAAGACCCCATTGACGCCCACTTGCATCATTCTTCCTACTTATCCTGAATTCTTTTGTTTGTTCACCTGAAGTGTATTTTTTTTCAAAGCTAATGACAGTTTGGGCTCTGTATTAGAATTTGGAATCAAAAATTAAAATAAGATGTAATACAATAGTAGAAAAATATTTGCAATATAGTATAAAATAATCTAGGCTCTTTTTCTTCTCATCTGAACTATTTAAATATTCTTGTAACTTCTTGTCAAGCTTCTAAATTCTCTACAATTCAACCTAAATCATTCCAAACAAGCAAATGAATTTTTCTTGAAGCCTGATTCTGAACCTATCCACCACTGCCCATCTTAACCATTCTGGAAGTAGTCCCATTATCTGGTTAAGAAAAAAATTCTAAGTCCTTCGTTCAGCATTCAGTGCCCCCACAGGATTCAAACAAACTGAGCAAATTTTATGGGTTCATTTTCCTTCTAATAAACTATGCTCCAGGCACCCTGGACTAGCAACACATTACGCTAGTGATTTTGCTTTTTCTTTTTTTTTTTTTTTTTACGTCCTTATTGCAGTATTGTTGTTCTTGCTTAGAATGCTATCCTCTTTGCTTTTCTGGGAATGTCTTGCCTTCTGAAAGTGGAATTTCCTAATTCTAAATTCTGACGTCACTTTGCTTGTCATTTGGCACTTGCTACATATAGTTTTATAATTTTTTATGCCCATTTCTCATTTCTCATAATAGGATGAAGGTGCTTTTTAAGAAAGGGGTTAGACATTATTTATCATTGATTTCACATGCCACATAGTACATAAACCAGCCTGAATGTTCAATTTGTTGATTTCATGAAAAATTATTTTATTAGCAATAAATCCTTTGACTTATAGCAAAGGTGACTCAGTGGAAGTATTTGTCATATGAATCCAGTTTTCTACTGACTTCCATTATATAATTAAAAATATGTTCCCATGAAAGGAAAATTGCAATACGCTTAGGAAGAAACTTGTGAGAAATGAGAATTGTGATGATTACCTCAATAAAATAATGAGCATCCTATCCAAAACATTGTATACAAAAGCACAGACTAACTCTGGAGGCTATTAGCCTTCCCTAGTTATTTTCATTGCTTGAAAACTACTTCAAAATATTTTTTGGTAAGTGCACAATTAAATGAAAGCCAGCCTCTGTTCAATTCAAGCTAGTTTGCATGTGTAAACTCTCACTGTAAGTGAAGAGGGTGAAGTGACCTAGTAGGGATGAGCAACGTTCACCCCTTGGGCAGGTCCAGCCAGTGAACACCACTTGCTTCCCATCCTACTTGTCACCATCTATGTGACACACTCAGTTTTAGGTGAGCAGTAAAAGATGCTTTGAAATAGCTTACTGGAGGCATGTAGAAATTCAATTTCCACACGAATGTAAACGCTCAATCTGACATTCATGCTCTCTTTGCTGAAATTCCAACTCACCTATTTATTTTACTTTCTGCTATTTGCAATGGTCAACATGAAAATTAGGTAGAATGCATATATTAATGCAATCAAGAAAGAGCTTTCAGAGGAGAGTGTGAAGCTTTTAATTCCTTCAAAATTCCTTTCAAATCCTTTAAAATGCTGCAATTGCAAAACACTGCATCAGCCAAGGGCACCCATTCTGGGCTCAGTTCCAATCCACAGATAGGCTGAAATGGAAGTAGAAGGCCTGGCAATTTTGGTCTACTGTGGGACAAGTTTGAAAGGCCATCAGTGATCCATTTGTATCTCTGCTGGGTTGGCTGGCTCTTTGCAGTCTAGCCATAAGCTTCGTTTCTCTCTCTGCACAACCCTGTTTCAACACTTACCCTTCCACTGATATTCAAAAATGCCCAGTGTCTTATTATTTTATTAAACATTGTACAACTAAATAAATCTCAGTTCCTTATTCTGGAGCATTCAAACTACAGTTGATATGAGTACTAACAAGGAAACTTAAAAAGGGGAGTTTGAAGATGACTCACCCAGCTGCCTATGAGACCTCAATCCTGGTGGTAGGTGAGCTACACAGGCTGTGGTGCCAAGTGGCTGTGCATTTTGTAGAAGCCTTCGCCTGATGGGATCAGGGGAAGATGCTGCTCCCCTACACGGCCACAGGAGGCAGTTTGGAAAGGGCACTGGGGAGGACTGGAGTTAGGGCTCCTTACTCATACTCCTCCATCACTCCCTCAAGACTGGCTCAGAAATAGCACTTCCACCAAACAGTATACTGCAGCCTGCAGCTTCACTGCATCTGCTGGATAGATGAGACTCTGAGGGACAGGACTTATTGTACCATGGTCTGCTCTGTCCAGAGTCCTTTCCTGCCCAGAGCTACATTCAAAGCTAGCAGCTGCATGTTTCTCCATGTCACAGCTCATGGCTATAGCACCACTGCCAGGTGCTGCCTTCAGATGCTTCAGATAAAGCCTACCTGGCACTGTGTGTCCTTCTTTGTTGTAGGGAATATGAGACAGAGGAATTTGTATCTTATTGTTGAAGAAATGTGCTAACACAGTGTTTACTCCTGGAACTCTATGTATTGCACTGTAGGCTATAGGTCTCCAAAACTTCATAGGAAACCTCTGGAGAGCATGTTTTTTTTTATCAAGGTCTTCAGTATTTCAGTAGCATTTGCCTACAGTTTAATGCCATTGCTGTAATGGGTCAATGTGATAATATATGGGATGCACTTCATATTCCTTTACACAGTATCATAAGAGACAAAAAGTTTAGGCAATATTATGTCAGTCATGATCTCTTTATTTCATCCTTTTCATTTCTAATTGTATGGATTTAGGTCTTTTCTTTCCTTTTCCTGATAAGGTTGGCTAAGGGTTTGTCAATTTTGTTTATTCTTTCGAAGAACCAACTCTTGTCTTCATTGATTTTTTTGTATCATTCCCTTAGTCTCCATTGCATTAATTTCTGGTTTGATCTTTATAATTTCCTCCCTTGTATGAGCTTTGGCTTTGTCCTGCTCTTCTTTTTCTAGAAGCTTGAGGCTCAAATTCAGGTTGTTTAATTGGGCTCGCTCTGTTTTCCTAATATGAGTGCTCACTGCTATGAATTTCCCTTGTAAGACTGCTTTCATTGTGTCCCATAGATTCTGCTATAAGGTATTGTCATTGTCATTTAATTGTAGGAACTGTCTGATTTCTTCTTTAATTTCCTCTGTGACACACTGGTTTTTCAGAAATGTGTT